CTGTGTTTTTTATACTGTATTTTTGTACCACTTTTTGAGAAGTATTGGTAAAGTGATTGCTTTTTTAATGTATATAAAACTGTATGTAAATACAGATTTCATATTATACTGTAGCACAGAAGAAATTCAGATGGCTAGTAAAACGTGCAAAATAAATGTCATATATCTACATATACCTGTTTTGACAAAAAATTTGTTACTGTGTGCTATATATACTACAATATAGCCAGCACAACATGGCATAAGAGATCATTAGTAACTTTGGTCTGTAGCATGTACAAATTACTATATATATAGAAAATGTATATTTGAAGTAAAACAATTTCTTTCGAAACATTAACTAAAGAAAGACCTTCAAAGGATTAAATTCTACTTTAAGATTATTTAATTGTTCCCACCAAAACAAATTAGGATCGAAGTTAGTTTTCAACTCCCCCCAAATCTCCACTTTTTCATACATACTTCTGCTACGAATAACTTTCAGTATGAAATTAGTAACTTTTTATTTCACTGAAAGGCTCCTTTTCCTCAGTAATTTTCCATCTTTAGTCAGGAAGACTGAAGAGAATTCTTAAATGATTGGTAAGAAAATTATTTTAATCAATGGTGTGGAGCAAGGTGAAGATAAAAGGACTGAAGCTAACTACTCAAATAAGAGATTTAGGCATCTACAAGAAAGTCTGGAAGACACTGTAGCCTAAATTCACAACAACGTAAAAACCTGCATTCACCTGCTGCCTCATCACACTAATTCCTAATAAAGGAACCTGATCTGATAAACACCCTCAGAAAACACCAAGATACGCAGGCAGCTGATCACAAGTGATCATCCGTCATCTGGACTGCATTGACCATGTGGTTACTCCCAGCACCTGAGTGGCGCCAATATGCCTCAATTTAAAGCCGATACAAGTGGCTTGGAAAATGTATGCAAATAAGTTGAACAGCAGCTCTTAAAGTGGTAATTGGTTCAATTTCTGATCATCTGATCCCACAGTTGTAAACAATCTTTTTAAAGCAGTTCTATCACCACAGCTGCAACCTGCCCTCTACATAATAGCTCCCTACTATAGAGCACTCACGCTAAAATGAATGATCAGTATCAGGGACCTGCTTCCCTCATTGTCCCAAGGGATGCTAACCATGTCAAATAAAAATGCTCTACTTAAAGGGATAGAAATGGCTGTCAGAAAAAGATTTTGCATGTGTTAGGAAGCACAGAACTCCTAAAGACAGTATAGCCCTTTACTATACGAAAATAATAGCTTGTTCAGAAAACATATTTGTAAGTATGGACGTAAATCAGAATGATATAGTCATATCTGATAAGAATGAGGTAGCATTCCACTGCTAATTAATGGTGAAGAAAGTTTCACAGCATATAATAGCTATGAACCTTTTAAACTCAGCACAGCTTGAAAAGCTTCTAAGCTATTTCCCACACGCACTGGCCATTTTAAACATCTCCCCTTCTAGCTCACTGGCCCTGCATCCCATTCTGAGGCACTGAGATATAACAGGCTTAGGTTCCTCACACAGACCTAGGACCCTGGTAGTTTGGGGTCAGAAGTACTTGGCAGTCAGACACCTACGGACTTCATCGAATCTGTATTGGCTGCAGAGGTGCATCTGCAAAACACGTGTCCTCTTCCTACGCATCCCTACTGTTTGTACTTTCCACATAGCTAATACTGGATAACTTACATTATGTTAACATCAGATCCAAATTTATCTTTACCCTAAAATCTTAACATGGGGGAGCACACTTTGGTTTTAATTTTCACTAGGTTGCCAAAAAACAATGGAGCAGGCAGTTGTGTTTCAAAACTCTGAGGTATTAATCCTATTTACTTAATCATGGCTCTTTTGATCTGTCATGTTTCGATTATGTTCAAATGTTCATATTGAGAGTAAACTTCAAAATAAAATGGAGCGCAATATCTAGCTATTAACTGGATATAAGACACCCCCCTCACCAAAGCCAAAGCTTTGCATAATAATCAACAAAGATCTAGCAAAGTCACTCAGAAAATAAATCTTCTCCACCAGTTAGCAACACCCTGATGGCAGCTCCCACACAGACCTCAAGCCATTTGCAAAATGGAAGCAGCAGAGAGCAAATGAAGCAGCTTGGCTTAAAAAGCGTGTCAGTCGGCTAACTACGGAAGGCTGCAGACGTTGGGGGTTCAGTCAGTCACTGGAATGCCTGTGGGAGGGATCCCAATGCACCACCTGAGGCCAAGCTGTCTGCAGCTTTGAAAGGTGTTAACATGTGGAACAACCAGTGCAAATAGTGGTACTTAAATTTCTACCTCTGACTTGGAGGTGAAATCTTCACTAGTAAAAATTTTGATATTATTCTTGGGCAAGGTCAAGGGGAAAATCAAGTAATCACATTTAAATCAAAAGTACTTGTTCATTAAAACTTTGCTTCAGTTAATAAACATCCATTTTTTTTTTCTGCAGTCTTATTCTACATTTATGACTTTTTCTATTATTACATTTTCTAGGCATTTATTTTAAAATTCAGTCTCATTAAAACTTACGGATAAAGTATAAAAGCATTCTTCCATCTTACTGACAATCAGTGTAATTTCTAAAGGCAGTATTTCACTTAAACTTCACAAAATTCATAAGCAGTGTGAAAAATCATTTGAATAGTTTATTACATCCTTGATCTGGTATAAATAAAACTGTTAGATACTGATGCTTTCATCACTGACATGCAATTCTGGTATTCACTGCTGCAATGAATTAGGTCGTATAAACAACAGAACACCATAAAACAAATTCAAGAGATGCTGTAAATAGGGAACAAAAAGGAAATCATCTAGTGCAAGTTTTTTTGAGTGTAAACCCCTTGACACATGTTGTAACCAGCCAGTTAATAATTGCTTTGTAAATTGTTGTAAATCTGAAATGAAGCAGAGGGGATAAAACTAACAAATAAGTCATAAAGTATAATTGTTACTTGTTTGGAGTGATTATTGCCACTGCCAACCAAGTTTAAAATCTTGTAACAAAGAACCTATTTTTATATTTCGTCCAGTGTAGCTATTATACTTGTGCTGGAAAATACATATAATCCTTTCAATGACTAACGTGTCACACAAAATATATGCTTGCACAGATGCTCAATATTTACAACACATGCCACATACAGCAAAATGCCACAAATTTTAACACCACTCTCATCACACAGTGCTTGCTCTCCCTTATTCACCCAGAACAGATTTCCTCAGGCTGGAAAGAATACATACTGGACGTTAAAAATCCAGGGAGTATAGGAACGGGTACCATCATCTCCGAGTCATGCTATAATGCTGGAGCTCTCTTCCAGAATGAAGAGGACACACAAATATAAACAGGAACTTCTTACAGAAACAAATTAAAGTTTGGCAAAGTCACAAAACAACTGGAAATAGGGTTATCCAAAGGACAGGAACTGGCATCCTTTGTAATTGGCCCTCTTACCAGTCTTACCTATAACACTCCAGACTTTTCAGGAATGTGTTACTTAACTATAGATTTTCTTCCAGTGTTATGGCTTAGCAGATCTTCACCATTACTTGCAGCCAAAATGTCATTCCATGTTATGTTGCCAGCATTACGACACTGACCTAATTTGTCCCTCATATTTCATGTTCAACACAGAGTCAAAAATCACGAAAAAAATGCTTTCTTGTCTCACGGTTATTTTCCAGATTTTGAATTGGTATTTTATTATCAGTGTTCCCAAACTGGAAGCACAATAAAAGGATGAAAAGGGAGAATCAGAAAGATAAGTCACCTTGTATAAACTGTGGGGCATTTATGTGCACTCACTTTGTACCAATAAACTTTATTATTTAAAAGAAATATCCAGCCGTTTATCATTAACAATTTTAAGTTACCTATTTTGTATTCTTAAAAAAATGTTTAGTTGCTCTAAAAATCTGAACATTTTAAGTACTGTACTTAATTATTGTACTTGTCATGTAGTCTCCTTTTCCCTCACCAGGAAGCCCCCACCAAATAAAACGTTTATGTTCTGCCATGCAAATATGCATATGCCTCACCTGAACATCTCTTATCTCGGCTTCATATTACTCACAATAAAAAGACAATCATTGAATCCTTCTGTTATTATTGAGAGACACAAGCACTTATTGCACTTTATTGTTTTATCACAAATAGAAACATGCTCCCATTAAATTTTTTTTTTAAGGAATGGAAGTTCTGAACATTTTTAGAGTGCTAAATATGTCAGGATAGCCCTCAGACAGTAACTCACGTAATTCTACTACTCCACAAAGCAACCTTTACTTAGTATTTAGCATGCATATACTTAAATTCTAGTACAAATTTTAAGTATGAAAATATCATGGAATACTGCATAAATGTGGAGAAAATAAATTTCAGAAAGTTTGATGTAAAATCAATACACAAAAAGGCAACTATTTCAGAAAGTGATATATTTAGTATAAATCGAACTGAAAAAGTTCCCAGCTTTAGAATATGTTTCTGCACTCTCCTAACTGACAGAGGAGTGCTAACTGTGGTCCGAGTCACGATGAGCTGTCTGAACAGAAACATCTGAGAAACGTTTTGCTCATGCTGTTTGCCGACAAGAAACTTATTAACTTCATTAGCAAGATATTTAGATAAATCATCACACAGACAAAAATGTTTTTACAGACTTAAATACTCAAAAATCTCGAAAGTGTACTGACATACTAATGACTAATGCCTGCAACCAGAAAAAAAAGTAATCTACCCTTCCCTCCAAAACCAAGAAAGGAAAGCAAACAACAATGACAAGTGGAAATAATAAAACATCTAGAAAATATATCAGCTGTGACAATTAATGGCCTATTTGGCATCTCCTGGAGATGAAAGAACAAAAGATGAATGTCCAAGAGAACTTCTTTTTTCCTTGAGCAAAAGGTGCTTTAAGGAAGGCACAAATTAAATGCAGCAAAACCATAACCAGTTACAGAAGAATAGTATAAGCCACTTACAGGAACGAGGAATTTTTTTATTTCTTCCAAGGCATGACTCATACGAGAATACGCCTCCCCAGGTGGAGCAAACACTTCAATTAATACGTGAAGCTCATCACTCAAGTGCGCATATTTGGCTTCTCCACTTTTCCTTAGCTCTTCCTCCTATGAAAAAAGAGTGGGTTTTTTTTTTAGAACTGGGAAACTACTAATTTTGCGTTGATTTAGCATTTACAGAGAACATGACAAAAGGATATAATAGAAGCAGACTTCTAAACCCTTTGAGAAATAAAAGTCTAGTACAAGCCACTTAAAGATTTAAAAATCAATTTTGAGTGTTTGAATGATAAAACCAGCATAATTATCATCTACAACAGATTTTAATCAGCACAGTGAAAAAATGCTAAATACTGCAGAAGTGAGTACTGAAATATTAAATCCATAATGGAAAAGCTGCATTAATGTGCCTGAATCTTAGCTGTTCCCAAAAAAATAAAATAAAGATCCATTTAACCATTTCAGAGCACTTTAACAAATGGCATTGTTTATTAAGGTCTTTAAGTTATTTAATGAATATCTGTAGGCTGTACATTTTAGTACTGACAAAGGAAACTATGCCCTAGTACTTCTATTTGAGACATGAGGTCTAAGTTTCAGTCCTAGTTTGGACATATGGTACGTATGCTATCTAGTCTACATTGGTTAAGATGGTGATTTACCTCACTTAGATTTATCTTGATAATTTTTGGGTCCCAGTTTTCCAGCTATAAAATAAGCCTAAGAACCCTACTTTATTTTACGGTATGTTCTGAAACGTCAATCTGCTTTCGTATACAAGGCTTTGAGACAGTGAATGTAAATTGTAATACACATTCATAGTAGTTACCTCTGCATAAAAAGCAAAGATGTAAAATAGTGTTATCATGTTAATTGCATTAGCTATGATAACGTAATGAAAAATTTGTCATTACTATAGAAGATAGCAATAAGTAATGCTGACAATCTGATGACTTGAAAACACAGTTTTCAAAAATATTTTGAGAAAAGTAATTTTGAAAAAAATATGTATATATATCCAGTCTTTATAGATGGAAAACATAATCACAGAAAAAAAAAAAAGTAATTTGCTTAAAATTGGCTAAGAAGTTATAGTTTTTTAGCATATAGAGAAATAATACTTTATGATTATCAGATCTTCAGCTTTTCTAGGTGTTCAGATCTAGAGGCCTAGATCTGACTCCATGATAAGTCAATGTTTTGCAGGTGATGATAAAATCGTAGCCCAATAAATGCGATCCCTTATTTTACTTTAAAAAGTTGGAAATTGACAAAATTATTTTCAACTAAAATCTAAAAATTACGATAAGCAGCACAGATTGTAGAATATTTTTATCTTTACAGTTAAAGTATCTTTGGCATTTTAGCTTATCACTGAAATCTCACTGAAATGTCCATAAAAACCAGAGCATAATGTAACAGTCTATCATGAGATGTTACAATAATTTTCAGTTTTCTGGAAAAAAAAACATTTGATTGCAGCAAAAAAAAAAATTGACATTAAGTATTTCAACGGAACTAAGTTTTAGTTAGAAAGTGACATCCTAGTAATTGCTGAAAATTCATTTCATATTGTTTTTTTAAAATTCCTAAAAAAAAAATCAGAAAGCCCCAAAAGTTGTCTTCTTTCAGAAGCTGTATAGTGGTAACAGTGGCAACAACAGCAACAACGTTTCTCTTTTATTTTCTCCACAAACTTAGGAATTATTAAAACTCATCATTTTATAACCTTCAGCACATGCTTTCTGTCACTACTCAGCAGCCACTTCTATAGCTGTTAGAAACAGCAGGATAGGGCTGTGAGACCCTCAACATTTCTTTCTGAGGATATCTAATGATGTTTTTTCTTGTGGAATGTATGGGGTTAAAGACTGAATTTTCAGAGTACCTCTTCCCACAACAGAGTCAAATACCAGAAAAATGCTTCTTTTATTGCAAGTGTGTGTGCTGATAGAGAGAAACTTAAATCACTTCAGGAAAAATATGGAAGAGTAAGAACTCAGTCCATGTGAGCACTGTACCAAGCTTTGCTTCCCAAAGCCAGTGAATATGACTGAGCTTTTTAGGACTGAAATGTAGCCTTACACCAGACATCTAACAAGCAAAACAACAGACATAACTCACACTGTTGAGGAGACATCAATATGGAAGGTTACAGCTACTGGCAGATAATACAAGTGCAGTACGGATGAATGGGCTCTCCCAGGAGCATGTGAAGTTGGACGACACCTTCGTAAGTCTTCATTAGCAAGCAGCACAGCCCAACTGCACAGCAAAATGGTCAGTGCTGTGGACCCAGCATCCACACTACTTATATTTAGGATGACAGCACTACACCTTCTCTAGCACTTCAGTGTGTTTTGTTTCCTGCTAGTTGTAGCCTGGTCGCACAAACTGAGTTCCCATTAGAAATCAGAGAGCTTTCCTGAAGCCCAACTTTGGTTTAGTTTTGTAGGAGAGGAGTCTGGTTCATGTCCTGTGATCTTTGCTCACTGTAAGTAATGGCCTAGTCACTGGGAATGATCATGAGGCTCTTCTCTAAACTGCACTTCTGATTCAAACTAAAACACTAATGAATAAATACACCATGTAATACCGGTAACGACTAAGATGGATAATGAGACTTTCTAGCATCTGTTACATGAAGGCAAAATGAATGAGATTATCATAGATGTATCTTATATGGTGTTATTTATAAGGTTATCTGGTGCTGTTGGCCTTGCAAGACTCTCCACGGGTGAAGCTCTCTAATGCACCAGTCCAATTACCTGTCGACTTTGGCGTTCCTCACACAATTCTGCCTTAACCACCTGTGAGGTCTAGCTATGCTCCATGGTGCTGCCTGTAACTTTTGGCAGATTTTCATAGCTTTTTGTGTTCTATGATTTCCCACATCATGTACAGCAGCTTTCCAGACCCTGTTCAGCTTGCAGAGCCTTGGCCAGGGTCTACCCAGCAGCCAGTCATTCGCCCACAGCCCTAGCACAGGAATTGTAACTGCTTGAGCCTATTCGTGCAGACATGAACCAAATCACAGTGAAAGGCAATGTATATTGAAAGTCTGATGTATTCACTGCAGAGAACCACCCTGAAAACAATCAAAATGCAGTTAAATCTTAGGCACTGGATCTTAGGAAAAAAACCCCACAACAAACCTGGTACCTAATCAGTTCTGATTTATAAAATGAATGGAACAGATTCCCCGGGCTTCTGGATCAGTGATGGCAATCTCTCTTAATACTGACCCTTAGGATAATACTATGGTTCTTATTGACTGCATGGTGATGATATTTAACTCCACTGTGGGTTGAGCACAGCAGAGGAAACGCACACCACCTTCCAGAGACAACTGCCCTCTCATCCTGATTCTCTCCCACTCCCTTCTGTATGCCAACTCCCTTCATCTCTCTAGACTGACAGTACTATATTCCATATCCAAAGGCAGCTCCCCTCACAATATGTGGTTTAGGCTTCCTTCATCCTCATCTGCTGTTTTACAGCACAACTGTCACACGGTGCTGAAGTTCACCCGCCCTTAACCTGATGCATGGCTCCATAACACACTCCCTCATAAAAGATAACAGATATTTTGAAACACCTGCTGTGTTTTATAATTTCCAGTTGACCAAAGCAGGGAAAATGAATTATAAAACTCTACAGAAGAAATTCGAGGAGTACCGACCTCTGAAAAAGTGAAGTGTATGAGTGATAAGAACATAAAGTCCAGGAAAAATGATGAATTATCTCTGGATGAGAAAGCAGCCTTACCATTTTAAAACAATGTGTGCAGACAGAGAACTGATTTCTGTCTGTAACCCCAGCCAAAACGCTTGAATAGATCTACTGGAATGAACTTGAAAGAACAAATGGAGTTTGCATAGCAAACAAAATTACACAATCCAGACTGATGGATAGAAAGTGTGCTCATAAAATTGAAATAACAGAATATCCAAGAATAATAGAAGAGAAACCTGCAGCGGGAATTGTGTAGATCTCAGAGATAAATTTCATCAATACAATACATAGAACTTCCTATAATGTAACAATTACAGCTATGAAAAGAAACAATGGGTACTTGAAGAACAATATGAGAATTGCAAGAGATTCCTTATCTTGCAAGAATTTGCAAATAAAAGCATAGTGCAGAGACTAGACAAAGATGATAAACATAGCGCTGTTGCTACAGAGGCATTATTCATAAGATAATGGACAATGCTACAGAAGAAAATTAATGAGCATGCAGTTTGACAAATGCAAACCTATTAATTTTTAATCTGGACATAAAATCAAGATGTTGTCTGCAACACTGATTGTAGTAAAAGTAACAAGTGAACTATACGGTAACAAGTAAATTAGAACAGATATAATTTCTTGGTGGTACCTGTTTTGGGATTAAAAAGCTTTCAGGTCCTAGGTCCCACGAGTAGTGAAACAGAGAACCAAAAAAAAGAGGAACAATTTGAGAATGGATGAGGTGGAATGGGACAGTTCTCAGCAGAGTACAGAGCAAAGCTAAAGGAGTTTAGACATCCCTTGACTCTTGTTTTTTAAACCAGTTACTCTCACTCCAGCAGGAAGAATAAAGGAGATGGTGAGTACATGAGGTGAGCTCACACAGCAGAGTTAGGAGAGTGGGTGTACAACACCTGTAGTCAGCCACAGAGACTCGATAATGAAATACAGGCATGTAGAAAAAGCATTGCTTAAAATAGAGGAAATTTTTTGAGATACAGGTGATAATAATTATTTTTCTACATTTGATATGTCATTAAAATTCTTGTAGTTACTTTGGTGAAATGGAGCAGTACATTCAGTACTGCCTTGGGCAAACAGGCCCTTTAATTCAAGGCTGCTTTATTTCCTGAAGCTTTTCATAATGAAATACACCACCACCTTAATGACGAAGAGGTCCTAAGCTGTACCTAGATCATGTTTTTGTTTAGACAGGTGAGAAGGAAAACAAAGTCAAACCAGAAGAATGTGATGATAACATAATCATTGAATCATTTTGAAAGAGCCCGAACACCTGGGGTGAATATTAGGTGAACAAAACACACATTCTGTGAAAGAAAATAAATGTTTAGGAGAAAGGTTAACACATTAAAGTG